GAGAAAACATTTGTTATTAGTCTTCGTGGGACTCTTATTTTACTGAGCACGATGGCCTCCAGTTCCATCCATTTTCCAGCAAATGATATAATTTCAATCTTCTTAATGACTGAGTGAACTTTATATTTATATACCACTTTTTAAAATCCATTCATTCATTGATGGCCACCTAGGTTGACTCCATAATTTGGATATTGTAAATAATGCCACACAGGTATCTCTATAATAGTAAGCTGACTTTTGGGTATATACCCAGAAGTGATATGGATGGATCATAGGGAGTTTTTTTTTTTTTTTTTTGAGGAGCCTCCATAATGATTTCCAAAGTGGCTGAACTAATTTACATTTCTTCCACCAGTAAATAAGGGTTCCATTACCCCTGCATCCTCACCAGCATTTGTTGTTCCTTGTTTTCTTGATGATAGCCATTCTGACTGTAGTGAAGTGGAATCTCAGTGTAGTTTTGGTCTGCATGACCCTGATGGCTCAGAATAATGAACATTTTTTTAATTTTATTTTTTATTCCTGTGCTGGGGATACTTATGGCACTTACAAAAGTTCTTACAATATATCATACTTGAATTCATGCCCTTCATCATTCTCCTTTATCTCCCTCCCCCATTCCTGGAATAGTTTCAACAGGTCTCATTTTTCTATTGACATACATGTGTACACAGTATTTGTACCATATTCACCCTCCCACACCCTCTTCCCATCCTCCCCCTCCCACTGGTACCAGTCCCTAGACAGGACCTGTTCTGCCATCCTGTTCTCTGATTTTGTAAAAGAAAAAAATGACATTTTTGTTGAAGATAGCTACCCAGGGCATTTCCTTGTGACATTTCCATGTATATATGTATTGTAACCCAAATTGGTTTACCTCTTGTTTTTCTCCTTTCTGCTTTAGTCCCCTTCTTTTGGTGATTGCAGCAGGTTTAAAAATTCTATGTTCTTTTTTGTATAGGAAGTACATCAACCATATTCATCTTCTTAACTTCTTTTACCTTCCCTCTCTTGTATGTGACCTCCCCTTAGCGTGACCTGCTTTTCATAATATTGCTGTACTTTTATTAGATCTATATTCCACATATGAGAGAAAACATGTGGCCTTTGGCCTGCTGAACCTGACTAACTTCACTTAAGATGATGTTCTTCAGTTCCATCCATTTACTTGCAAATGACAAAATTTTATACTTCTTTCTGTCTGAATAAAATTCCATTGTATATGAGTACCACATTTTCTTAATCCATTCATCAGTAGTGGGGCATCTTGGCTGTTTCCATAGCTTAGCTATTATGAATAGTGCTGCAATAAACATGGGTGTGCAGGTGCCTTTTTTATAACCTGACTTACATTCCTTCGGGTATATCCCTAGGAGTGAAATTGCTGGATCATATGGCAGTTCTATTTTTTAGTTTTTTAAGGAGCCCTCCATACTGTTTTCTATAGTGGTTATACTAATTTATATTCCCACCAACAGTGTATGAGGGTCCTTTTTCCCTAACACCCTCACCAATAGTTGTTGTTTGTGTTCTTGATGGTAGCCATTCTAACAGCAATGAGATGGAATCTTAATGTGCTTTTGATTTGTGTTTCCTTTGTGGCCAGGAATATTGAGTATTTCTTCATGTGTTTTTTGGCCATTTGGACTACTTCCTTTGAAAAAGCTCTGTTCGGTTCATTTGCCCATTTCTTCATTGGGTCATTGAATTTGGAAGAGTTTAGTTTTTTGAGCTCCCTGTATATTCTGGTTACTAATCCCTTGTCAGATGTATACTGGCAAAGATTTTCTCCCATTCTCTGGGCAACCTCTTCAATTTGGTGACCATTTCTTTTGTTGTGCAGAGCTTTTTAATTTACTGTAGTCCCATTTGTCAATCCTTTCTCTTAGTTGCTGAGCCATTTGAGTTCTATTTAGGAAGTCATTGCCTAGGCCTATTAATTCCAATCTATTCCCCACTCTTTCCCACACTAGCTTCAGAGTTTCAGATCTTATATTAAGGTCCTTAATCCACTATGAGTTGATATTTGTACACAGTGAACAATATAGAGCTAGTTTCAGTTTTCTGCATGCAGATATCCAGTTTTCCCAGCAACATTTGTTCAAGAGACTGTCATTTCTCCATCTGTTTTTGGTACCATTACCAAAAATCAGATAGGTATAGCTGCATGGATTCATATCTGGGTCTTCTATTTGAACATTTTTAAGGTATTTGTTAACCATTTGTCTTCTTTAGTTGAAGTGTTCAGTCCACATGCCTGTTTATTGGTTGGATTATTTTTTATCTTGTGTGTAATTTTTTGAGTTCTTTATGTATTCTAGATATTAATCCCTGTCAGCTGACAAATATTTTTTTCTTGTTGTATATGTTTTCTCTTTAATCTTTTAATTGTTTCTTTTTTGTGTGTGCATAAGTTTTTCAATTTACTACAATCCCATTGGCTAATTCTTGCTCCTATTTCCTAAGCTGTTGGAGTTTTATTCAGAAAGTCCTCATCTATGCCTATATCTTAAAGTGTCTTCCCTATGTATTCCTGTGGCAGTTTCAAAGTTTTTGGTTTTATATTACGGTTTTTGGTCCATTTTGAGTTGACTTTTGTGCAGGGTGAGAGACAAGGATCAGGTTTCATTCTTACATGTGGATATCCTGTTTTCTCAGCACCACCTAGTTAAAAGACTGTCTTTATTCCAATGTATGTTTTTGACACCTTTTTCAAAAATCAAATGACAGCACTTGCTTGGGCTAAATTGTGAACATTCTAATTTATTTCATTGGTCTATGTGTCTGTTTTTGTGCCAGGACCATGTAGTTTTTGTTACTATGACTCTAGTATAGTTAGAAGTCAGATATTTTGATACCTCCAGTGTTGCTCTTTTTGCTAGGATTACTTTGTTTTTTTGGGATCTTTAGAATTGATTTTGGAATTTTAAGTGTTTTGAGACAGGGTTTTAATATGTAGCCCAGGCAAACCTCAAACTCATAATCCTCCTGACTCAGCCTCTTAAGTGCTGGGATTTCAGGGGCGTACCACCCTGCTGTGCTTAATCTTCCCACTTTTTACTTACATGTGGTGACTTAGTTTCCTATGTTCTCTAAAGAGAATATCATTAACATATCCTGGTCTTTGTCAGATATTCTAAGTTATTTAAGACAGACATTAAAATTTCCTAATTTTAGATAGTATAATATAGATTGTACCTAAAAGAGTGGTTGAAATTCACAGTGAGAAAGGATCACTGAGAAATGTAGGCAGCTAAGGAAGTAATGTACAGCCACCCTCTACTTGAGGAAGAAAATAGAGATTCAAGTAACAGAAACAGTAGTATAATGGCTGAAAACGAGAAGTTCTTGTTGAGGATACCTTAAAGAGACCATTGAAGTCAAAAGCTCAGAAGGAGAACAAACTCATTTTGCATGAATGAAGAGAAACTGGTTGATAAAATGTCTGAAAGTGTTTCTCAGGCCATTGGATTTAATCTGGACTTTGGCATCAGTTTCTCAGTAGATTCTTTTGTGTCTTGTGCAGCAAAGAGTGGGAGAGGGATGGTGGGAATGGGAAAGGCAGGTGTTGCAAAGCAGAAGTGATTGGAAGCTCTTTGCAGCAATTGTGCTATCCTTACCTTGGAATGTCTCCACACCATACCTTCTAGAAATTCTCAGACCCCTCAGTAGATTGACAATGGTCCCTGTAAAGATCAACCCAAGACATTCGGGTTTTGTCTTGAGTCCCTTCTCACAGTCCACCCCATTTTCCCCTAAACAAAGGAAGAGAAAAGTAAGAAAATGGAAAAAAAAAAAAAGAAGATTGAACCAAAAGTATTTTGCCTTATTTTCTAATCCAGTTTTGTTCACAGAAGTAACTATGTTGTATATATTCTTTTTTATACCTCTTTGTACATTGTTTGTGCTTAATAAGTATAAATTTTTCACAGACAGGAGGAAAAGTTCATTTCTTGGACACCAAGTCCAAGGAAATACCTAGTGTGCTTCATCGGTGATTTGTGGTTGGACAAATTCCTGATTACCTATCCTTTTGAAGAGATTTTTTCCAGTTTGTGTATGTGTGTATGTGCTTTTTGAAAAAACTTGGAAATAAGAATGGTTAGTTTTGGTATTTTTAAAGTAAATATTTTTTGTTTGAAAAACATTTTCAGAAATAAGGAATGTTTACTCTAGACTCTAACTATAAATTTGATTGTTATTTGAGTGTACCTTATTGAGTTCTCTACTGGTTTATATAACACGAAGCTCTCTTTTCACCATCTCATTTCTCTTACTAGATCTTCTCAAGTTGAAAGTTTAGTTGGTACACGTTCAATAGTGATTCATCTGAATGTTCCTGAGGCTTCTCTTTAGTTGCCAGTTACAAGTACACACTGATTATTTATTAGTACACACTGAGCTCTTTGATATATTCTGGCCTTTTTTCTCCCCCTAATGAGGGACCCAGTTATTTTTAGTCCTATCCCCACCCTCATTATTGAATACCTAATAGACTATCTCTTTCAGAATTTTCTGAAAATTTGCTTTTGATTTGTTCTTAGCATATATGTTTTGTATTCCTCTACCTTATATGACTAATTCTCCTAATAAAATTATTTAGGCATCATGACAACTATTATCTTTTACATGGTTCTAATCCTAATCTTCATTTTCCCTTATTTCTTTTCAGCTTTAGTTTTGACTACCACATAAGCCTTAGTTTAAAAAAAAAAAAACTCACCAAAATAGGCCCTAAATTTGCAGCACAGTAGATTGCTGGCCATATCTGGAGAAAAAGGTGTATTTTTTCAAATAAGCTACAGGGCAAAACAGACTAGTGTTGATACTACAGTAAAGAGAAACTAGTCTACATTATTTTGGTACTCTGAGAGCCTTTATTTTGACAAACAAATCATCAGTTAAAGAAACCCCTAAAATGTTTTCCTTCCTAGTTCCTTGTTTCATACTGATTTTGAGCTGTCACTTTCTGACTCACAAACATTTGTTTTCCCTAGGTTTTGCTGGTACACCTGGATATCTCTCTCCAGAAGTTTTGCGCAAAGATCCTTATGGGAAGCCTGTGGATATGTGGGCATGTGGTAAGGAATCATATTTTCAGGAAAAGTTTGGAATACCCCAGTGTTTTAAGTCCATTGAACTGCTGTGACAAACCTCATGAGACTGAGTGCCTTAAAAACTAAAAATTATTTCTCATAGTTCTAGGCTGAGAAGTCCTAATTAACTTGCTGACACTTTCCCTATCCGATGACGACCTGCTTCTTATATGTCAATGGCCATCTTCCCTTTATGTCCTCACATAATGAAGGGCGAGGGAGCTCTGCAGGGACTTTTTCATAAAGGAATTAATCCCACTCATGAGACCTTCACCTTACCAAAGGCCCCACTTCCTAACACCATCAGAGCAGGGTAGAGAGCTGGGATGTCAGCACGTGAGTTAGGAAGGCCACAAGTCTTCATTCTATAAGAAGTGTTATAATTTAAAATAGTATCTTTTACTTGAAGTTGATGCACTGTACTGATCAACTCAGACATTCATAGAAGAAATTCTCGAACTTTACCCCACAAGAAGATCTTACGGAAAGTGGTTAAAGCACATACTGCTCTGTTTCTTGATTTAGCAAGTCTGGAGTGGGAACATTTACATTTTGAACAAATTCTCAGGTGATACTAACACACTGGTCTTCAGAACACAGTGACAGCAGGGATGTGGAACACTGTACGGTGGTTATAACTGATCCAACGAGCCTTTCCAACAAATATGTGTATGCCAAGATAGTTGGCAGGATTAAGAATGAAAAGGTAGATCTCAGAAAATAATGAAATTGATTATCCTATGGGGACTGAACTCTGATTTAGGCCTTTATCAGATAACTCTAATCACAAAAAATATCTTGAACAGACTCAAAGACATATAACGAGGAGAATTTCAACTTCATTTTTCTTTTTCATTCATTCATTCTTTTTTTTGTGTGTGTGGCATTGGGTTTGAACTCAGGGCCTCACTCTTACTAGGCAAGCATTCTACCTTAGCTCTAATTTCACTTTTTATAATGGAATGTTCCATTTCATCATATACTTCAAATAGATGAAAGGCTGGAATAAAGAAGATACTACAGGATGCACTGAAATACATTTCTTCTAAGGTTATTGACATCAACACAAATTAGTCCTCTAAGTTTTCATGGCAGTGTGATTGCTACTGGTCTATAAATAGGTGTTTAACTACCATGGTTTGGCTTTGGTGTGCTGCAGACAGATTTCACTGCTTGGTGTTTGTCAGCAAGCCTAGATTGAGTTGATTGAATTTTTTTTATTTATAGATTCTGAAAATAACTTTTTAGATCTGATTTTAGTTTTTAAAAAGGTAAATAAATTCATCGCCACTTCCTCATAGTGATAGATTTTTCCCTTCTATATTTCTTGTTGGCTTTACATCCCTAGTAACAACAACATGGTATTTATTCTTACATTAAGTATCACTGGGCTTTCAGATTTCCTTCCATGCCTAGAAAGGCAGTTATGAACAGGGAACTACACTCATAGTTACGACACCTAACTTCAAGTCTTTGCTTTGTTCCATGTAACCCTGTCTCTTTTATATCTCTGAGGGTAATATATCACCCTCATGAAACTGTAGGAGTATCAAATAAGGTACATTTTAAGGGAAAACTTTCAGTAGTAAGTAAAGCAATTTAAAATGCAAATAACCATTATAGTTTTAAAAGATTGTTAATGACACTTAATTAAAGGGTAATTTCTGAAGTATGCCCATCTTTGTCTTCCTCCTATCTACCTGAGACTATCTTCTACGATGAACTCCAAAATACCTTTCAGTGAGAGCATTGCTGCAAAATGTTCTTGTCCAAATCTAAATGCTAATGGCAGAGAGCTTGAATACTTCCCTTGCAATAAATAAATCTAGCTGCCAGCACAGATCTGTTTCTGCTGATGGTTTCAGACGCAGCAGAGTGGCCTGCGGTAGGCAGACACTGACAGGATTTGTGGAGGATAGAGTCTTAAAAGCATTTTAAAATATAGTAGCTCTATGTTTCATGAAATATGGGAGGTGTAGGTAGGACGCTGTGTTTGAACTGTAAATACCAGAGGGATAGAGTCGTATGCACTGGTCTCTGCCTAATGGGTATTTCGTGGCCTTTCTTTGCCTGCTTTGTCCACACATCATCTCCAGCTGCATCTGCCCTTTCACTTTGTCTCCTTGTTTTCCTAGTTTCCTTCCTATTTTCTCCTTTTATTTCTCCCTCCTCTCATCCATTTCGTAGTAGGAGGCTGTGTGTATAGTGGTTGAGGGCACATACCCTGCTCCTCAGTTTGCTTGCTGTGTGACAGAGATGACAGACCACAAATTAGTCTCTGAAGCTTGGCCTCTTCTTATAAATGGAGATAATCGTACTACTTGCCTCCTGGCTGCCAAGGAAATATTTTTAATTCCATAGGTGTAAGTTATCATTACCGTTATTATTAGGAAGTGTTTCTTTAGAAACACTTTTAAGAGGTGACTCAGCACTAGTGGTATGATGCTCATTTGAATATTATGATGCCCTCATCTGATTATCTGAATACCAAATTCTCTCTTTCCCTCTCTCTCTCGCTCTCTGCTTTTTTCTTCACTTTTAAGTTATTTTATTTATTCTGAAAATATTTTATTGTGGTCAAATTTCATGACTCTTGAATAATAAATAACAATTTTAATAAATCATTTAGTTCTTATGTTAAAATATTTTTCATAATATATAAGTTTCATTGGTGTTGAAGAATATCTGATACTTTAAAAAGAAACCACAAAACCTAATACATACAAGTGGTTCTGCCTTGGATGCACAGCAGAATCAATGATGAAACTTATATAAACAGAGCCACCTATGTCCTACATGAGCACTCTGCTTAGCTGATCCAGGGTGAGTGTAGACAGGTGCACTTTTAATAAACTGTAACATGTCTACAGGGCGTAGGACCACTGTGTTAAGCTCACCAAGCACACTGTGTTCAATTTTAATATCACTTTGATAAATTTGAGTCCACTTGGTTTCTGGATTTTTATTTGAGTACATTTCCATAATACAGTTTGTATATTTCACCTTTATAAATAATGAAATATTATATAATAATTTGATTTCATACCTGTGAAATGTGAGATAACATATAAGATACAAGGTCTTTCTTGAATGAAAGGAGGAAGAATAGGTAGAGTTTTTCCCCTCCTTGTTTGACCTGTATCACATTCTTAAAAACATTTATTCAATAGAAAAACCCTACATGTATGAATACAAAAATATATTTCTCCCATCTCTCTCTCTCTCTCTCTCTCTCTCTCTCTCTCTCTCTCTCTCTCTCACAATCTCAGAAATTAATCTTCAGAAACTTAGAGCCAAAGGGCATCTCAGCAATTTCAACCCTAGTTTTGTCATGGCCAGAGCCATGTTTCAGTTTGTTCTATTCTATCCTTACTTTGCTTTCTTCACAGTTTTCTGCAACCAAATCTCTTCATGACAAGCCAGGTCCCAGTTAATGTGTATATTTATAGCCAACTCCCATTTTCTTTAGAGATCGTATGCATCTTTTAGTTGTGTGCCTAGAAATACACTGGGTACCACATAGCTCACTATGGTATTCTGATTAGATATTGCAACATCACATATATGTGGAAAATGACCACTCCTGGGAGCATTACTATGAATTTTTTGGGGTCACTAATCTTGGTTTGGAATTACTGTTTTACCCTTTTATTATATTTCTCCTCACTAAGATGGCACAGAAATACATTAAATTAACCGTATTTATAAGATGATGTATTCTTGCTCATCACTGTTTAATAACCACCAAAGTAATGTACACATTACCTGGTTGTTTTGAGGATACAGTTTACCTAGAGAAAAATGCTTTTTTAGCCACAAGTTAGCACTAGCTCCTACCAATTAGTTCTTCTTTTCAAGAGTAGACACTGGTTAAAAAAAAATGGCACGACTCATATTACAAAAGATAATGTCAAACAATGGCATATGGTATTTTATGTGTACTAAGTTATGACCATTCATTTTAGCAGATTATTTGTCATTTTGTCATTTTGTACAGAACAAAGGTAACCACAGCATTGGTATAGTGACTTAAAGAACGCTGTGTATTACTTTTGTTAGAAACATGCAATTATCTGCATAGAAGAAATCACAAAATACCACCAGTACCTTGCTTTTGTAATCTCATGCAAAAGTATTGTCTGACCTATACTTGGTCTTTGAAAGCAAGGAGTCCACTACTAGAAAGTAAATAATAGACATTAATGAAGCAAGAACATAGTCCTGTGTTCTGCCATTAATTGTAGTAAATTGATTTTAATGGCTTTCTTATATATATGGCTACTTCCATAATTCCTTAGTGGGATGAGCAAATATTTTTGATGTCATTGGACAATGAAATTTTTACAGAACATCTTCTAAAATTTGACTTTATAAAAGGAAGAAAGGAATGAAGGAGGCTGGCCTATGACTAAACCTCTTTTCCACAATACATGTATGCTGTCTTACTACTTCTGTATCCTGTTTAGGTATCACTCTGAACGTTTATGGATGATAAATTAGTGATTGTCACACAGAATGTAGCATGACTTTGGAAAATCTTTGACTATAGTGGAATCTGTTCTTCTTTTCATGCATAGTAGGTTCAACAGTTATATAATTCCTTGGGCTTAGCCTTTTCATACTTCAGTTGGGGTAAGTCATGATAGGCACTTTTATCATTTTGAAATCCCAAGCCTACTGGAATATTTGTTGCTATTACCAGTTCTGTGACTACTGTACATTGGGCCATCACAGGTGTACCCCAAATTAAAGGGTTTCTACCCTCACCCTTGTTCACCATATCTTCAACAGTCTTCAACCCACAGGGCCTTACTCTAAAACATAATCTTTACCAATATCCTCTTTACCCATGTATTGTCTTAAATCCCCCCAGATTTGTTATATATGACATTTCCAACTTTGTGCTTTTTCAAACTATGGACTATAGACTACATGTTTCAGAGTGATCTGGATGATTATCAAAAGTTCAGCTTCCTAGGATCCAC